TGTGTGTGTGTGTGTGTGTGTGTGTGTGTGTGTGTGTGTGTGTGTGTAGAGTAAGTTGTGGAAAGAATAGCATGTACAAAATTGTCCCTTGGTAACTATGGGGTGTTAGCTCTTAGATTCCCCTGTATGCACCAGAACCCCTTACATAAGACGGTGTAGCTTTTGCACCTTGCACGTCTTTAAGCCATATCTAGATCATTGGTGCCTGATATGATGTAAAGGCCACATAAGTAGTTGTTGTCTATTATTTAGAGAATAATGACAAGGAAAACATGTCTGCATAATCAGTACAGATACCACTTTTTATCTTTTTTTTTTTTTAAATATCTGTGGTTGGTTGACTCCATAGATGAAGAACCCATGGATTCAGGGGCTAACCACTCTGAGGAGGAATAAAAAATGCTGGCAGAGTGGTACGCGCCTGCACTTCCAGCACTGGAGAAGCTGAGGCAGGAGGGGCGTCCTAGGTCAGGCTGTGAACACAGGAAGTTGGGACCTATCCTTGGGAGGTAGCTGTTGAGCAGAAGTTCTTTCCCCACAGATCTCACATGTCAAATTCACATGGGCATATCTATCGGGAGCCTCCTGGAGCGGTGGCTAGGCCCACCCCTTTCCCCAACAGGCGGGGGACATCCCTAGAAGGTGGGATTATTCCCACTTCACAGGTGAGGAAGATGAGTTGCAGAAGAAAGTAAGTATCACAAGATAAACTTTGGTAATTGACTGGGTTCATAGAGGAGTGTTTGGAAAAGGGGTTCCGGAGGGTGCGCAAACTGACCCATCTCTATCTCAGGAGCGAGACAGCCACTGGCCCACAGCACACAGTGTGTCTTCCGTTCCTGACTCCTGCTGCAGCGGGCAGAAAGATCATCTACCTGGCAGGTAACTCTGCGTCTGGAGATATGAGTTCAGTTCAGAAGTTTACTGTTGGACTTCTCTGATGAGCAGATTGGAAATTCAGGCACCCCATGAGTCCCGAGCGGCACTGACAAGCGAACGCCGGAAGTTGGGACCTACGACCCCGCCCCCCGCAGCCCCCTCCCCGACAGCTGTTGATATGAGCTCCTTTCCTGTTTGCAGCCCACAGCTCCTTCATGTCAAACTCAGCATCACAAATGACACAGATCTACTAACAGCTTCCTGGAGCGGTTAATTCCCGAGTCCGCCCCTTTCCCCTGCGGGTTCGGCTTTCCAGTGCACCCAGCAGGGGGCATCCTTGTCCTTCCACTGTCCACCCCCGGGGGGGGGGGGGGGGCAGATTGGCCTGCTGCCAGCAGTGCCTTCCAATCAGCAATGCCCAGGAGGAGTCAGTCCAAGGCCAACTGCCCAAAAGTATTCCTGTGACTTCCTTCTGCCCCAGCTAGTCTACTATTATTTACATTGTTTTTCTTCCTTTGTCTTCCTTTGTCAACTTAAGAATTTGTAAAAAGATTTAAGGCTTCTCTTTCTTTTTTCTTTTTTTTCTTTTTTCTTTTTTTGACAGAGTATACATTCCAGTATCCGGTCTCTAGGCTGGCCTAGAACTCCAGACGAAGCTCTAGCGATCCCCTAGCCTCAGCTTTCCAAAGAGCTGTGACTACGCACATAAGCCACCATGCTGGGCAACCTATATGTATTTTTAAAAGAAGAAACCTGTTCAGTAAAGGTCTTTCAAGTGACTTGCCATTCCTAGCGCTGGCATCAAGATTTGGTAGGAGACCACAGGCCTTCATTCCCTTCACATACCTGTCCATCAGTGGGTAAAGATTCTGCGGGCTTGGGGCCTGAGATTGAAGGAGCAGAGCCCAGGAATCATTGAAAGAGGAACAGAAACATCCCTCCCTTCTGGGCCTATGGCTGCAGGCAGGACAGGAAGGAGGAACTTGGATGTGGGGGCCAGATCCCTTGCAGGTGACAGGTGTAAGGCTTTGGGAAGGGACAGGGATTTCCCTTGCAAAATTCATTCAAACAGACAGGGAACCTGACCCCAGGGAGACAGGCAGACGTGCAGGGGCTCCCAGGAGGCCCCCAGGAAGGCTAAAAGGAGAGGGCAAGGAGAGACACTGAGGGAGGGGTTGGAGCACCTGTTACCCGTAGGAGTTTGGAAACTGTTTCCTGGTGCCTCTTTTAGCTCTTGTTCTAGGCTCTGCCCCTCTGGTCTTAGAACTACTTTTCTGGGGACCATATCTGAGCTAGCTTCCCCTTAAGTGTTCACTAGCCCCCCCCCCTTTTTTTTCCTTTTTAAGAGAGGCTTTCTTGTAGTCCGGACTGGCTTGAACTCTTGATCCCCTTCCAAGTGCTGGGACAACTGGCATGTACCACAGCCCTGGTTTTAGCCTCGATTCTCACTGACACTAACTTGTCCATCTCCGCTGCCCTCCCTGGGCCCATCCTGTGCCCATCCCCACTCTCCCACATCAGCTCTGACCTGCGGAGGTAATTCCAGGGCAGGGGGAAGGCCTCCAAGCTGGCAGGGGTGGCACAAAGACCACTGATGGGACCTATTGCAGAAAGCCAGGGC